TATATCGTAGGCAGCTTTGTAATCAATGAATAGTACTTGTGCTGAAATGTTGTATTCATAGCAATTGATCAGGATTTGTTTTAGCATAAAAATATGATCGGTTGTTGATCTTCCTTTCCGAAATCCTCCCTGGTATTCTCTTAGATTCTTCTCTCCCTCGCTCTTTCTCTCTCTCTCTCTCTCTCTCTATCTATATATATATATATATATATATATATATATATATATATATATATAAAAGTGAGTTGAGGTTAATTGGGTATACAGCTGAATAAAAGCCAAGTGCACTCTGTTCAACAGTTCATTATATTTCGCCAATTTTCATTGGCATCATCAGATGAAAGCTACAATTATTTAAAACATGGTAAAAATAAATAAAAATAAAAATAATAAAATACATTCAATAGTCTTACTTGATTGAGGTTGTGGCAATATGTACCCTCTCATATATACATATATATATATATATATATATATATATATATATATATATTTATATATATATATATATATATATATATATGTACATATATATATATATATATATATATATATATATATATATATATATATATATATATATATATATATATATATATAGAGAGAGAGAGAGAGAGAGAGAAAGAGCGAGGGAGAGAAGAATCTAAGAGAATACCAGGGAGGATTTCGGAAAGGAAGATCAACATTTGTTGATCATTTGTTGACGTCAACAAATGATCAACAAATTTTCTGTGAGATGCAACAAACCATTTGTTCTGTGAGATGCAACGGTACAGTCTCAGAAGAATTCGAAGTGAAAAAAGGTGTTCGCCAAGGAGATCCGTTGTCTACATTGCTATTCAATATATATAAATATATATATATATATATATATATATATATATATATATATATCCGGTTTTTTTAGGCGTTACGCCCGTCCGGTAGGGATCTATGGAGGAGTATCACCGAGCCGCAAGCCCTTATCTCTTGCCGTACTGCTCCACCATAGGCCGATCAGATCCCAGCATATCCTAGTCTAAGCCGCAGATTCATCTAGAATTTTAAACTGCTGCGTTAGACTTTTTGTTTTCTGTACACCGAGCTAGGGCTCGATCCCACATCCACTGAACCATTCGACAGTGAAGCGAATAAGAGGCAGCCGCACAGCCCGCTGAGCTATCTGACCGACCTATTCAATATAGTTCTAGAAAAAATTGTAAGGGTTAGTGGAATAAATAGGTCCGGAACTATTTTATACAAGGAGCACCCATGCTTAGCATACGCTGATGTGGTTCTCATTGCAAGAAATGGAAAAGAATTATCAAATATAACAAAAAGACTGATTCAGGAAAGCTCTAAAATTAGACTGAAAGTTAATATGAATAAATCGAAGTACATGGAGATCTCGATCAAAAAAGGAATAAACACCAGGGGATCGTTTAAATGGGAGGTGGAGGATGGATCAGTTGTAAAATTGGGGAAGGTGGATGAATATATGTTCTTAGGTACTCTTGATATTGTAAGATATGTAAGGAAGAAACTGAAATCAACCTGAGACTGACCAAGAGCAACAGGTGTGCTGGAGCCATGAGCAAAATAATTAAGGCCAAACATATATCTCGTAATACAAAAATAGGACTATACAAAACTAATTAGACCCACGCTGCCGAGACATGGACTATAAACAAAACCATACAGAACAAATGGGAAAGAAAGATACTGCGCAGAATATTTGGTGCAAAAGTAGTAGAGGGAGAATGGAGAAGACGAACTAATGCAGAAGTGTGTCATTTGTATGTTAACCCTACAATAACAAAAGTAGTGACAAAACGTAGACTATATAATGGCTTGGTCATCTAGAAAGAATGCAAGGTAATAGACTAGTCAAGAATATTGCTTGGACAGTACCTGAGGGCAAAAAAAGAGAGGAAGACCAAGAAAGAAATTGAGATATGTAGTGATGGAAGATGTTAGAGAGATGGGAATCAGACATGATACAAATACAAACAGATAAGATACCGCGCATGTGGGCGTGGCTTATGCATGACTTTTGTGACGTCAACTTGTGCTAAATTTCGCCATATTGTGTTTTGACGTTTATGTACATTTACGGTTCATAGCCAATATTTAATAAAATAATATTTTAAAAGTGTTACAAGGCTTTAATTTTTTCCCGATATGAGGTGTGCAGTGTATGGTTGTGCCGTTGACAATATGTGCAAGAGTTTTGTACCCGGTACAGCATTTTATAGCTTTCCAAAAGACAAGCAAATGCAAGCTGTTTGGAAACATTTGTGTAAACGCCATGATAATTTTAATGTTAAATTTGCTTGTGTTTGCTCTAAGCACTTTGTTTAAAGTTATTGAAGTGATGAATCGGTCATTCAGGTTGGCAAAATATAAAACAGAAGTCAACTACTTTATAAGTTTATAGAAGACGTTTCGCTTTATACTTCTAAAGCTTCCTCAGTTCTAACTCAATATGTAGTATTAAATATGTTATTATTTATGTACTTAAGTTTACTCATTATTTAGAACTAACTTAAAAAAAAACAGAAACAAAGGACACAAAAACTTTGCAAAAAATAATATTCACATAAACGAATATTTAACAAAATTTTAAACGTACATTTGGCTTCATTTAAAGATGGTTTTTCAATGAAGACAAACAAAACACTGGTGAGAGTTTGTCTTGATTGGAGAACCATCTCTAAATGAAGACAAATGTACGTTTAAAATTTTGTTAAATCTTCGTTTCTGCGATTGATATTATTTTTTGCAAAGTTTTTGTGTCCTTTGTTTCTGTTTTTTTTTTAAGTTAGTTCTAAATAATGAGTAAACTTAAGTACATATATTATAACATCTTTAATACTACATATTGAGTTAGAACTGATGAAGCTTTAGAAGTATAAAGCGAAAAGTCTTCTATAAACTTATGAAGTAGTTGACTTCTGTTTTTTATTTTGCCAATCTGAACGACCGATTAGCCTCTGAATTCACTAGTTGAATACTTTATTAATATATATATATATATATATATATATATATATATATATATATATATATATATGTATATATATATATATATATATATATATATATATATATATAGTTGGGAGATTAAATAATTATAACCATATTTTAGCATATCCTGAAGAAGCGAATAAATTTTGTGAAAGCTAAATAAAAGAACAAAGAGTTTTACTTATCCTGCCCTATTAATGACTGCAACCTCAAAACAAAAATATTTATATATATATATATATATATATATATATATATATATATATATTATATATATATATATATATATATATATATATATATATATTATATATAAATATATATAATATATATATATATATATATATATATATATATATATATATATATATATATATATATATATATATATATATATATATATATATATATATATATATATAGCTAGGAGATTAAATAATTATAACCATGTTTTAGCATATCATGAAGAAGCTAATAAATATTTGTGAAAGCTAAATAAAAGAACAAAGAGTTTTACTTACTCTGCCCTATTAATGACTGCAACCTCAAAAGAAATAGTTTACCTAACGTGTCAGTCAATAATACCTAACTACTATATATAAAATATATATATTGTATGAAAATCACATTCCATAGTTTGCAATTTGTGGCATTCGGCCATGGCTCCCTCCATCAAACTTCACTCTTATGGGAAAATTGTTATTTTTTACAATATACTAATTTAAATACTTAAGCTTAAATTCACGTAGTAAATAAAACATCTAGTAAATTATATTAGAATTTCAACATTTCGTTTCATCCGCAAGCATGAATACATTTTGAAAATTTAGCACAAGGTGACGTCATGCGCGTGAGTGTACGAGTTTAGTGCGTGGCAATATCATATCTGGTATCCTTATATCATGGGAATCAGAGATTGGAAGCTGTTAGCTAAGAATAGAAAACGATGGAAATTATTCATCCAGCAATGGACCTAAAAGGCCTGTTAACGCTGTACATTCATACCACATCTGTCAAAGCAGCTTAAGCTGTAACATTGTTGAGGAAAGACCTGAGCTAGAAGGCCGTGGCAAATCAACTATATTTAAGAAAATCAGCTGTGCTCAGAGTGTATTATTAGTACCAAGATCTTGGTGATTATGTTCGCTGACAACGAGGAGATCATAAACAAATAACGAGAGAGAGTGAGAGATAGATGATTGATTTCTTGTATCGATATCCCTGAGAAATAAACATTTGACTGGTCTCAAATGTGTCTAGTCTATAGAAGGCCGGAAGAGTGATTTGTTCAACGTTGTATACGAAAAACTGTGTCATATGGAGGTGATTCTTGTATGTTTTGGGCAGGCATTCCCATGGATGGGAATACCGAGTTTTCATGCCTGGTGGAGGACCTGATGGGTGTTTAATCGCGGATCGTTACATCAGAGACATTCTGGGTAAATATGTGGTTCCATATGTGGGATTTATTGTATATTTATATTATTTATAAAATTGGCCTGTATTAAGCCTGGACTTTAATCCAATAAACCTTGTTTGGGATGAGCTTAAACGAAGTGTCTGTGACAGAAATCATGCACCAGGGAGCATAATGAAAATAAGAGCTGGGCTTAATGATGAATCAAGAACTGTCTCAAGAATTTATTAAAAAAGTCATCCGAACCATGCGAAATTGATTGGAGGTCATATCAGATACTGAAAAATCAAGAAATTAACTTTGTAATTGATGATTTCACTGGTTATAATGCCCTTTTTGCGTTCGTTCCAGTGATGAATATTTAGGAAGCTCTGTTTGTATTGCATATTGTTTTTAAGTATCCTCCAAATAATGCAATAGCAGTTTTTGGAAGTTCAGTAATAAATTTATTGTTACATATACAATACATGACATATGCACTCAAGTGTTATGTCAACAAAACAGAAATTGATATACAATAATAAATGTTGTTTAGTTTCCATTTAGATGGTTATTATTAATTATATACTGTTTTTAGTTTATCACAGATAAGTTTTGGGTTGATACGAAATGGAGTATCCACAACATTGGAAGTAGGTGCCTTTTTCTTGCAGTTTCTACAAATGTGGAATTCTCAAAAAAGCAATTTTAATGTAACAGATTTACCAAGTGTTCCAGCACCTTCTGTAAGTATGGAACCAGAATTTATACAATTATTTAAAATTATGAACTGAAATTGTAATCTGCCTGTATTGTCTATTTGTATATTTTATAACATCTATTTTTTCTTTTTTTTTAATATCCCCGTATTCTACAATCCACAGTGTGATACCTTGTTTAATAAATGTATTTTCATATAGATATATGAAGTCTATAATAGACTACACACAAGATTTACACATTTTATTTTATTAAAAGGTTTTTTATTTATTGTTCCTTTCAATTTAAAAAATAATTAAGTGTTTGCTTGTGTATCTATCCTTAGGTTAAAATGCGTTTACCAGTCTTTTTAATAAAAGAGTGTGTTAATTTTTCAAAAAAAATTTATTCTTCATAAAAAACTCTGTATGAACTAAAACCAAAGATGCAACTATCAGATATAAAATTTTATCAATCTTAAAGAGGTATGTCAAAAATTATAAATTTTGCTCAAGACTAAAGTACTTTTACATTTCACAATATCGAAAATTTTTATTATGAAAAATTGTTTGGAATTAAAATTATGTTTTATTATGTTAAAAGTTACGTCCTTTTAATTGAAAAAAAATGTTAGGTATCGGTATCAGGAATTTTAGAAAAAATTTGCAAAATTTGAAAACTATTCCAGTGAATCTAACATCCGTGCTGAACACGATATAGAAATGAAGTCCAAGGAATTCTAAATAAAATAGGTGTAATAAACAGCACCTTTAAAGCTTTCCGTCTTGGTCGATTAACATATAAACCAAGACCTCTTAAAGTCGCATTTAATGATTCAGCAATAGTTATGTCATGATAAAAACATCGTAGATTTTTGATGGGTTCTAAGTTGCACATTGGAGCTAATCTTACACCTTTACAGCGGGAGAAAGTGAAGGTCGTTTATCAGGAGTTAGAATTCAGAAAAACACAGGGTGAGAATGACTTGAATATTTTCAAAATATTGGCGGTATGTGCACTAAACCTCAGAATTTCGGACATGCTGTGAGTCTCTGTAGTTATATTATTAATATTATTGAAACATGGCATACATCTAGATCTAGTTCAAAGACTCAATGTGGTGGTGTTCTTATTTCTGTTCATCATCTTCTTCTTCTAGTGCCGTCTCCATTATGAAGGTTGGACTATAACCATTGCAAATTTGTCTCTATCTTCTTCTTTTCTTAAGAGCATCTGTGTGTTTAACCTGGTCCAGTCGAGTATGTTTTTCAGCCAGGATATTTGTCGTCTACCAGGACCCCTTTTTCTTTCGATTTTACCCGCCATAATCAGCTGCAACAACTCGTACTTATCATTTCTAAGTATGTGCCCCAAATAAGTTTACTCTGACTGGTTTTCGAGGAGATTATGAGTTTAAAAACGACATATTTTTCAGGGCCTGATGGTATCCCTGTAGCACTTATTTTTGATAGAAGAACTGTATTTTTTCCCTTTATAAACCTTTACAACAAATTTTCAAATTATCATTGTCATCATCTATATTTCCACAATATTGGAAAAATAGTTTTCTTACACCTATCTATTAATCTGGCAATCGTCAGTGTGTTAACAATTATAGAGGTATAACTATTCAATCGGCAATCTCGAAACTTCTTGATAAATTGGTATCGTCAAATCTCACCTGGGCTTGCAGAAACATAATTATTGATGAACAACATGGATTGTCTAACGGGAAGTTAACAGTAACAAACCTTGTCAATTACCAACAATTCTTGTTGAGTGCATTTGAGAATAAAATACAGGTCGACAGCATTTACTCTGATTTCTCAAAGGCCGTTGACCAGGTTAATCATAACCTTTTGGTCCACAAATTTCATCCATCTGGCTTTGGTGACCCCATTGTTAATTGGGTTAAAAGTTTTCTGATGGGACGTACACAGCAAGTTCGTATTAAAAATTATATTTAAAAAGAATTCCATTGTTGATCTGGTGTCCCACAAGGGTTTCATTGTGGTCCCTTGTTTTTTAACTTGTTCGTTAACGATATTGGTAAGGCTATCAAAAACTCACAATTCCTGCTATTTGCTGATGATCTTAAGTTATTTCGTTGTATACATGAAAAATCAGATAGAGATCTCTTGCAAGATGATGTAAATAATATATGTTTATGGTCAAAACAAAATGGTTTAAGCTTAAATCCAACTAAATGTTCTTGTATTTCATTTGGTCATATATTTATTGTAACAGTCAAGATCTCCCACCTATTGTATTCAAATTATTGTATTGCTCTCTGGTACGCTCAGGTCTTGAATACTGCTCTGTTGTTTGGTCCCCATTTCATCAAGTCTACATTAATGGATTGGAGAGCGTTCAGCGGAAGTTTTTAAGATCTTTAGCTTTTAAAGCACATATTAATATAAGAAATACTGAAAATTATTTCATAAATTATTCTGTAATAATATCTCAATTTAACATTGCTATACTGAACAACTGCAGGTTGAGAGCTGATATGTTATTTTTGTTTAAAATTCTAAACACCGTTATTACCCAATGTATATTTAAACATAATACATAGAACTGGACACACTGCACTCTTTTATATTCCTTTTCATAGGACTGATTATGCTCGTCATTTTACTTTGCCGAGAATGCTCATGTCGTGCAATGACCTCCTATTTGATCCATTCTGTCCAAATATTAATGTTTTTAAAAGGCAACTTAAAAGTCTAATTTGATATAATGTTTTAATGTACAAATTTTTACTGTTTAATTATTTTTTTGTTATTGTTTTGATGTATATTGTACATGATCTTTACTTTTTACTATTTGTTGTAATTTATTGTAAATGGTTCTACAGTTGAAATAAATAAATAAATAAATTTGTTTTTTCAATTGCACATTAAAACATAGTTATTAATAATTCTAAACAACTTTTTAACAATTTTCGATATTGTGACATGTAAAGATTCTTTACTCGTTCTACTTGAATTAAATTTATATTTTTTGGCATACGTAGTATGATTGATAAAATTTGATATCTGATGCTTGCATCCTAGGTCCAGCGTGTTATGCCAAAGCAATCTTCAGTAAATCTCTGGCGGTCATTGCATCTTATCTCCAGGACCGTCTTGGTAGATCTCGTTTTCTTCTAGTGGGCGGAGTCCATTGTTTTATCTTTTTTGGCCGTCTATTTTCAGGCATTCTCTGCAGTTGTCCATACCAGTTTAGTCTTTTAGCTTTAATTGTATCTATTATGTCTAGATCAATTTACATTATTATATGCCAAATATGTATTATATGAACTGCTGTTGTATAAAGAAATCAATACACAGTTTTATCTTAGCTCTTTTAGCAAATCTCCAATAAATACAGATTCTAACGAGCTTTCGTACACTTAGCTCGGTTATTATTTTTGTTATAAGCAAAACATGCATTTAATTTTCTTCCAATTTACACTGCGTCTCTATCGCTCTTATTTAGAACTCAAAAGTAATTTCTATAAACTTTTCATGGTTAACCTAATTACCAAGATTTTGATCTGGTCACCTTGTCTGCTATATTTCCATCGAGCAAAAAGACAATAGAGGGAATGTAAAGGTAGTGGAGGCAAAAATATTGTTAGACGGGAAGTGCCATTGTGAGAGGCCACATTAAACAAGGAAAAGAGTCTCTTTCCTTGTCTAAGAAATCAAATTTAGTTCACATTCTGAAAAATATTTTATAGCTACTGTTTTATGGCCGTATAAAAAAACATGAAATATGCTCCTAATTAAAACGAATCATTATATTAAAATTTTCAAACTTTGTACTAATTCCATTAGATAAATTAGAACCCCTACACCACTGTATGATTATTGTGAAGTGTCGTAAAATTTAAATTTGGCACCTTTGCATTTCCGGATATGTCCGCCATATTAAGAGGCCACTTTTATGAATTTTGGTCTCCTTTTCATAACGATTAGATTCCCTCTTTTGTTTTTTGCTCGATGTATATTTCCCAAGCCAATGAGCAATATGTATTTGTGCTTTTTTATATTCTATAAATATTTAAACAGTTTTTTATTAAATTACTATATGTAATTTACATCAAGTATTGTTTGTACATTATTTTCTTAGCTTATACTAAATGTTTCTGCTTTTAGCTTGATAACAAAGCGAAACAGTATGAAGGAAAGTGTCCTATATGCTTAAAATCATGGATGATTCCCACTGTACTTCAAGTTTCGGGGTAAGTTTTGACGTTACTCTCTAAAATAAGGTGGTACTTTTCTTTCTATAGCGTTTGACTGCATTAAACATCACAACAATTATTTTTCTACCGTTTATTTGTATTTGTAAGTTTATTTTCACGTTTCGGTTTTCACTTCGGAAGACGAAACGATTTCCTAAGTGGAAATTGAAATTTCAAAATAAACTTATTTTAAAGTTAAAGAATGGCTTATTTCCAATAAAAATATTAAATTGCATTAAATTAAAGATTATTTTCAAGTAGTAACAACAAGCTCATTCGAAAAATATACTTTATTTCCTTCCCACGTCCATTGAAAGTTACCAATGACATTTCTTCCTCGTCACAGTGCCACCAACCACTTAAAAATTCCCTAACGATATTTTAGAATTATTTTGACTTAAATAATATAGAACAGATTATCAATATAACAATAATAAATTTATAGAAAACATCTTTTATCTATATAAAAGAATGGACGACAAGTCACACTGTTTGTCCGGTAGGACAACTAAGCCACCTAGGAAAGAAATCTGAACTACCAACATCTCACATTTCAATCATATTTTGTTCTTGAAACGATACGGTTGATTTATTGCTAAATCATTACTACCACTTCATCGGTAATTGTTTTTTTCGCAAAATTGCTAAAAATATAGGTTACTGTAACTGTAAGGTAAGAGTTACATATATTTACATATACACTTATAAAAATAAAACGACGTTAAAGAAATGTCAACGTTTTACCAAAATAAAATAAAATAAAATTAAAATTAAATAAAAATGAAATAAAATTGAATAAAAATGAAATAAAATTAAGTAAAGTTAGTTAGAACTAAATAAAATAAAATAAATAAATATGAACAAACCCAAAACTTTGCTTTATTTCATAATTCTCTTCAAACTCGAGTATATACTGCAAGTGCTTCCGAAAATGACACGTCCACAGTGGATGTGCAACGGATTGATAAGGAAATAACAGATTTATATAATTTTAACTTTTGAGAAGATGAAATCCTGTTTGTATTATTTTGAAAAACTGAAATCCTTGAAGAATTATATGACATTCCTTTTTAGGTATATCTTTTGCTTCCGCTGTATACTAAGGCACCTGAACGAGCATCAGACGTGTCCAATAACAAATCTTCCCGCCAAACCACTTGATATTGTCAGATTATACATTAGTTCATAGTAATGCAAGAACTGGAAATGTGTGTATGGGCGTACACATGACAATGTGATTCATTTTTAGTTGTATTTGTAAATGTTGTTAAAGTATCTCTTACGGTAAAGAGAAATATATATTGTGTAAGGTATAAAATAAAAGGTTTTATATTGTTTATATGTTGTATTATTGTATACAGGTTAAAGTTCCACTTATTAAACATGAGTATAAGCTTTTATCTAGTTGTTAAGTCTGTGTGTTTATACACTTTTAGTCAACGCACTTCACCCCAAACCTCGAACAGCTCACTGGCGAGCACGTTAGGTTGCACACTTAGTCTTTCTTTGTATTTTTTGTTTAAGTTGGAGATTTCTTACTTGATAGTAGTGTCGTCCGGAGGCGTGTCAGTCGGGAGCTGACAGCCGTGCCGAACACATCAGGAAATTCGGAGATTGGTCCAAATACTTGGGAATTCCAAGTTTGGCCGAATTTCTGATTGGCTCGATGCGGAGGAAATTCCACTTTTGCTGTGTAAAACAAAGGATTTGTTTTACATAAAAGCAGGTGGATTTTCTCTCATCAGTCAGTCGAGCTTGCCTCTTCTACTGTAGACCTAGTCGGTGCTATTATTGTTCCGACTAAGCTATTGTTTTATTTCTGATTTCCTGCATACTATTTCTTTTATTTCAGCATTATTGTATATTCAGACCTTGTCAGGTTAGAATATTACATATTTGTTCATGTACTGGTTGGTTGCTATTTTATTTGATTATTTTGATTGTTTATTTTCTTATATTTGTATCTAAGCTGTTCTTCCGTAAGTTAAGAACACTTAGAAATATTTATCTTGATTTATCTATTTTTATATTTGATTTTACTATCTAAGTAGTTCTTTCCGGTAAGTCAAAGAACTCTTAGAAATATTGCTTTGATATTTTATTTTGACTTGTTAATTTGTGTGTGTCTAAGTCGTTCTTTTCCGGTGAGTCAAAAGAACACTTAGAAATGTTTTTTTTATATTTGCATTATTATTTCTGATATCTTATCTAAGATATTACTTCATATAATTGTCTATTTTATTTTATGCTAAGTTGTTTCTTCCGTAAGTCAAGAAACACTTATAAACATTTGTGCATCTATTTTACTATATTTTATTCTCTTGTTTATTTTCTGCTCTAAGTTGTTTCTTCCGTAGGTCAAGAAACAGTTAGGAATATTTCTACATTTTATTCTCACATTTTGCATATTTCATTTTCCTTTATATTTCTATCCTAAGTTGCTTCTTCCGTGAGTCAAGAAACACTTAGAACATCTTTGCTCTGTTACTTTGTAACTGTTCCGTGGAACCATTACCTATAAAAGATATTTGTCACTGGAGCTGTTATTTATAACCGCAGTGGTATTTAACCCTTAGATCAGCGGCAAATCAGAGATGTTCAACACCCGTTCAAATTCCGGGGATAGGAAGAAGCCCGAAGAGCCGGCGATGGGTCCCACAGGCCCAAATGCCCCCTCTCGGCAACAGTAGGAAGTTGTAGGTCTCTTCCAATCATTTCACTGGACATACTAGGGAGCATTTACTATCCGTCATAGAACTATATTTTGAAATACTAATGAATAGAGATGAGTCAATACTCACAATCTGAAGTAGTTTTTTGTTGAATTTTTAGGCTTACAATATATGCCCTATCATCAGGGCACAGCACATAGGTCTTTGTTCTAACAAAAACTATAATCTAGAAACTACATGAAACAAACAATGAACACCTAATACAAAACAAGAGTTAAAAATAAAATTAAATTAAGCCAACAAGTATAACCTTAATTAAGTAAGAGTGCTGATACTATCATAATGTTAATTAAATGAGAATTATAAAATTGATTAAGTGAGAGAATTGACATAATATACAATATATTGAGACATCGGTGGCATTGGCTATAACCAGTTTGATGGAAATTGTACAATATAGTCAGTAATTAATTAGTTAATAGATACAGAGTTTATAAGTTTAGATTTAAAATAAAAAAGGTCAAAGATAAACTTTTATATGAATGAATTAAGACACAACAAGGATCGTCTAGTATTGATAATTCTCTTATAGCTCACCGCCACCCTCAAGGGACCCATTTACTCAAATATGGAAACTGGGAACAGTACAAACGAAGCTACTGAACTTATGCATCCACGATTAATAAAATTTCGATACCATTGATTTGCAAACTGTGTCTTTTTCACAAAATTTTTGTTTTTAAAATATTAAATTGTTAAATTTTTAATTTTAAAACTTAAAATGAATGAAAAGAAAAAATGAATTACGAAACTTTTTAAAATATATTTAACCAAGAATTTCAATTTTCTCTAAGAAGACTTATCGTTAAACTTTGTAGACTATTTTCGAAATTATATCATTTAATAATTGTCCCATTCTAAAATATTCAACGAAACTTTTTAATAAATTTTGAAATTTTCTATTTCAGAAATATGCTTTCTTTCTAAAAGCATTCCTAAATTATTTTTAAAATATTTAACAGTAACTTTTCATGAATACTTTTTGTGAAAGTATTCACGTTGTATGGATAGAAGAACTTGGTCACGGTGAACCAGCAGCCCCACCTTTGGCCTATGCACTTTATCCCCAACTCTGATCATCAAATTTCTGCAGGTTTCGCCCAACACCTTACTGCTTTAGGTCGCTTTAGTTCGCATTAAGCTAACATAGTGTGTAGATATGTATTTCGATAACTGCTGAAAGGTAAGTTGAATGCTTTTTTTCACGTTGTTTTATTTATTACTTTGTTCCAAGCCTGGCACTAAATTCAGATCAATTATAATTTCAAGCTACATAATAGGCCTGTATACATACTGTATATATTGTCTTTCAAGTCAATGTAGTGTATTTTTGTTTAAATCATTCTTTTAGTTACATAGGTGCGAATCATTATGCCACGCAACCGAGTTAGAAAAACAAACATTGGCATACACAGTGAAGAGCAGATGCGAAATGTTTTAGACTTCATATCGCGAGAAAATCAAAGCAAATTAAGTGTGGCAAAAGTTAATTTGCTTATGCTTATGATTCCGTATCCGATTCAGAAAAACCAGAATATATTATATAAATGAATTTTACTGATCTAACGGTGAGTTTTGTAAAGTCTATTGTATGAAAGTTTCAAGAAAACAATTTTAATAAGTACAAGGGTAAAACCAAATAGCAAGAAAGTATGTTGGATATTCCAACACAGATTATATGGCATTTCCAATAAACTTTTGTATTCTCATAAGCCAATCCCGTCGGTTTATTTAGCTATACATTCAGTAATATTTTCGACGCCTTCAGTAGGTATTGGATGTGTTTACTGTCCTGTAATTTTATTGTGAGCCATTGTATGAATTTGACTAAAAACCTCAATTTGAAATTATTTTCAAGATGAGTGATGAATATTGCAAACCTTCGGCTTCTAAACGAGGTAGGTAGGAAACTTCCCAGTCAGTGCAGGTGCTGAATTGTTACATATGTTAAAAATTCACATGAAGACGATAGTGACTTAAGTGATAAAATATTTTTTTTTTATTGAGTTAATGCCTCGACAACTAATGATCATTGACATGGTAAAGTCAGGTACCTAGTGTAGTGTGTGTGTAGAGTAATTGTCTTGATTAGCAAAATCAACGTCATTGTCTTTGCTAAGAGACGCTAATTGTATCCGAACGTCTGCGGTCAGTCCAGTGAGTACCGATCGCACAAGGATAGAAATTATTTTCATTCATTAATTTTTAATAAACGAAAATTTCTCCACCCAGATGAGATTCGAACTCACGACCTTTAGGTTTAAAGGTAGGCGCTCTTACCACTGGGCCACAGAGGGGGTTGATAAAATATTTGATGAAGATGATCGATCAGACAATTCAAAATTACAACAAGCATCTGAAACTGATGATGATGATTTTTAAATGGTCTTCAGAGATTCAACAACCTACAGTGCTACCATTTACAGCAATATGAGGATTTAAAGTTAATGCGGATGGCAGCAACCCTATTAATTACTTCAATTTATTGGCATGTGAATTATTCTATGACATAATCATTTAAAATAGCAATTTATGTGCTGTTGATATTCTTAAATGGGTTTAATAATAAACACCATCAAAACGAACTATATGAAAATAAGATGAAAATAAGCACGCAACCACAAATCCTATGACCACTCGTTATAGAAAACGACGTCATCGAAGCAGTGAACGAATTTGTATATCTGGGAGCGCTCCTTAACATTGAAAATAATACTACCTCAATCTCCTCATTAAATCCACAATAATACAGAGAAATGCAAAAATAAAACTCTACAAAACAGTAATACGCCCAGTCCTAACATATGGTTCAGAGACCTGGACTCGTAACAAAAAATAATGTTGGGATGTTTCAAAAGAAAAGCACTAAGGTGAATCTATGGCTCAGTGAATGACAATGAAGTGTGGAGAAGACGATAAAACTTCAAACTTTATAGAATATACCAGGAACCCAATATCGTAAAACATATTAAGATAGGACGGCTGAGCTGGATAGGACATGTAATGCGGATGAAACAAAATGACCCAGCTAGAAAAACGCTCCTTACTAGACCTATTGGTCAGAGAAGAAGAGGAAGACCCCGAACAAGGTTCCTTGATAACATCGATAAAGACATGAGAAATATGGGAATACGTGCTTGGTGGAGAAATGCGATGGATAGGGACGACTGGAGAGAAATTCTTGAGGAGGCTAGGACCCATGCAGGTTCGTAAAGACATAATGATTATATTTTTTCATAAGTAAATCGAAGAAAAGTATAATTGCAGCTTAAAACTGGCTTACTGGAACCATAAAAATTAATCGTTTGAATGATTATATTGCAAGAAAACTCATTTATTTAGTATTCCAGTTTTTGGACAATATAAAAGCCGAAATCGCTTTATGTAAATATTGCGTACCTTAAATCATGAAATGGTTCCAACATCTAAGAAAGGCATTGATAAAGAAAAGTTTAGTTTAGTCGCTGTATATAACAAAAACAAAGGTGGCATTGACTTACGGACCAGATGTTAAATTATTAGAATCCATTAATTGCGAATTTCTAGTACCGTTCATAGGCGAACGTTTTGGGTAGAGCAACAGGTATTTTAACGCATAACTTTAA